ACTCCTCAACATAAAAATCACTGTGATTACATCTGCCTTTGAAAAGGAAAAACACTCTGAAAAACTGGGATTAATCAGATGGTTTCAAAATTTTTAAGTAGAATCAAATGGAAGTACAGAGATAGCTGAACAAACTACCATATATAAAAATATGTGTCTATATGCATATATATTCAAATTATATGCATATGTATTCTTAGTACACTTTCTGATTCATAGTAACAGCTTAAATGGTTGTTGTGGTTGTTACTATTATTATTTTAGCAAGTGTCCGCAAATATTTTTGTAAAGGGACAGATATGAGACGGACGCACTACCTACTGAGCTAATGAGGCACCTTGTAAAGGGCCAGATACTACGTATCTTAGGCTTTGAGGGCCGTACAGTCTCTGTTGCATCCATTCAACTCTGTTACCATATAGCATGAAAACAGCCACAGACAATTAATACACCAATGGGTATATCTGTGTTCTAATTAAAATTTATTAATGGGCACTAAAATTTGAATTTTTTTTATCATTTTTAGATGTCACAAAATACTATTATTCTTTTCATCCATTTGAAATGTAAAAACCATTTTTAGCTTGCTGGTCAGATTTAGCCCACAAGCCAGTTTGCCAATGCCTGTGCTCCCACGAGTGGCCTATAGAAGAGATGTTAAGATAGATTAATTCATCTTTCTCATTTCGCAAGTGAAGAAAGTGAAATTCAGAAAAATGGAGTCATCTTTCTAAGATGCTAGAACTTACAATATGTGATACAGGACACCTGGAATGTGTTTAAAAATGCAGATTCTTTTCCATAGGTTGGAGGTGAAACCCAAGATTCTAAAATTCTAATAACCTCCCAGGTGATGCCCATGGGTATATGTACCACACTTCCAGTAGTAAGAGTACAGAAATTTGTAGAACCTTACTTAGTAGGCTGTTTCTAGGGTAATGATCTTTCCCAAACCCATGGAATCGTGAGCCTTACTGCTTCAATAAATTCATCATTATTTTTTCCCTAAATTGTTTAAAAATCTTTCTGATCTAACTAGTAATTTATTTCTACTTATTTACTAACATCATATGCCCACAAGCAACTTTATAATTCATTGTACCAAAGTTATTTTAAAATAAGAGTAACATGAAAGAACATGGGATTTGCTATTGAAAGACCCAGAGTCTAGTCCTGGTGCCTTGTTATCCCACGCCAAAGTCACTTAACCTCCCTGAACATCAGTTTCCTGAGTTTTAGATGGAAGTAAAAGTTTTAATACCTTCTAACTGCATCGTGAAGCTCAAAGAAGATAACGTAAATGAGCAATTTGGGCAATTATAAAGCAATACAGTTTAGGTTATAATAATCCATTGTGTTTTCTTCCATATGCACTTTCTCTGTAATTCTCTCTGATGGATTTCCAAGTGGAGGGCCGTATCTACCTGTGTACACTTAGGGTAGACCTGTTCAGGACTACTTATATTGGAATCCTCTGGGTTATGCATTTAAAAATGCAGTTGTACAAACTAAAACAGGATCTCTGGGGATGGCTGGAGAAACTACTTTTTGAGCAAACTTTCCCAGTCATTTTTGACACCTATATTTAAACCCATGCTTGGAAATTTCTGGTCTAAAGACTTATCAGTCACCTACTTTAGTTTGGTTGTGAAGTCAGCTTCATTTTCAGCAGCTTTCCAAACATTTTTACAGTTGAAAAGTTACTGATTGAGCATCTTGATTTCTTATGAAATGTTAAATAAATGTCTGTTTTCTAAATGTGCTTTGATTGCTTCAGAATCAGAAAATTAAAGATACGGTATTGCTTTCTACCACGAGCCTTCAGGGATTTTAAAGTTTTGCCTACACTTTTGTGTCTCAGCTGGCTCTATGGCCATGCAAACTTCTGTCTTCAATTTAGTCCATCGTTTTGTATCTGGAATTCTGCTGGCCCCAGGTTTTCATTCTTCTTATTACATGTAATAAATAATTGAACTGGGGAACTTCTGATAGAGTCTCATTTATGTTGCTCAACTGTTTACATAATAACTTGTGCCATAAAGAAGCTCATACTTTTACGATCTCACCCAGAAATATTCTGTTGCTTCTAGTTGTGTGACCTTTGACAGATCATTTAACCTCTTCATACATAAAATGAAAGGAAAGATAGCAAATGCAAAACACTACAGTGCCCGCACAGAGTGACTGGTAAATAACCATAAATCATCATTATTATTATTATCATTGATGTCACTGCTATTTCTGTTGACAAAAACATTTTGTTTTCAGAAATGAAGAAAGAGAAGGAAGGAGGTTTTCGTGCAGGCTTTTGGGGATGAATGTGGGTTTCAGAGGATTATCAGAGGAAGAAGGGTTAAATCTTTCCAGGATGTGTTAGGATTGGTAACTTTTTATGACTGAGTTTTGAGGCCCCTCTGTTATTCACTTGGTCAGTCTTGAAAGTTGCAAGACAAAGTTGCCTCAGCAAGTGTGAACATATGGGTTTGAAGTCAAAGAGTATTAGAGTAACACAATCACAGGGACTGTTTTTTCAACTCCTTTTGTTTATATATATAATTTTGCTCAGAGTCATAAGGGATGTTTGAGAGAAGCTAGAGGCACCTGGGGCTCAGCTGTCCATGTCCAAGGTGCTGTCCACTCCTCTGGACTCTGTCCATTTTGATCTCCTTGTCCTCTTCTTCACAGCCATCATAACTGTAATCGGAATATATTTCAGAGATGGAGCTGAACAACCTAGAATCATTATTCCTAACTTCGTATGTCTTTCATATTTTTTAAAAAATTTACTGCTTTATAATTTGAAACCTAAGATTTTCAGAATTCTTTCTCAATGTATCGCTCTGTTGAGATTACTGCTAGAGTAATTATCTTTCTACACATTTGACAATGAAGTCCAATTTTGTGCTCCTGCTGTTGAATTTCTAATCACAATGGAGTTATTTGGTCTAGCCCTGAGAACCTCAGTTTGTTAATTTCCAAACAGGCTTAAAAATCAGTATTTATTTTGCTGTTCTAAATATCTTTTTTTGCTGGTAACATTATTTGTTATTTTTTAATTAACTGAAGTCTATTTAAACCATTCTTTCCTCAATATAAAACTAACAAATAAGTATTTTCGATCTAGAACACTCAGAAATACTAAAATATAGAAAAGAGAAAAACATACAGAAAAATATAGAAAAACAGAAAAAAAATCTACTCTTAATATTACCGTTATCACAAACTACAATTAAGGTATCGATTTATTTCCTACCAGTTCTAGTACAATAAATACATGTGTATGTGCACAAATGTGTGTGTTTAGAGTGTACTATATATACTATATATTACAGCTAAAATTAGGACTATATGTGTATACACATGGACTATATAGATTTCTTAATTGCTGTATCATCACGGATACCTCATAATTTATTTTTGTAGGCTTACATTGCCACATAGTTGATTCCTAAATAACTGCCTTTAAAAGTCTTGTGATGTACATTGGTGTTAATGGTCATGGGTATGATGATAAAAATGACATGGCAATATAATTTTAATTCATCTTTATTAGATTTTAAGAAGACTGAGCACATTTTGTTATGCTTGTGAGCTGTTTTAATATTTAATTTTGTAAAATGTCTGTTCATATTCTCTACTTGGTGTTCAATTGGAATATGAACCCCTTTTCTATTTTATATTGAAAATATTTCTGTAAGCTTTTTCTCATTTGACTAGTTTATAGCATTT